CAGGAAACAGAAGTCAAGCAGAGGCAACAACCACACACGCTGGCTGCCATTAGACTACATGAGTTTATTGTGCTTCACTTGTCTCTATAACTGATAGTGTGACCCCACTGACACGTCTCTGAGCACGTGTACGACGTGTCACCGGTGTGTAGTCTTCGTCGGATGAGCATACTTTCCAATGCCCTGGGTGGTTCAATTACGCATTTAACAACTTGTCTGCCTTCGTCAAAGGCCTACCACCACCCTTGCAGTGATGCTTCATCTGTTGCATGAGAGTGGTCTGTTGGTCTTTAAGCCTCTTTGGCATTTTTTCCTTTTTTTTCTGTGGCATTTACCTACCAGATTATGTGGCGATTAAGAACCCTCATCCGTCACCACATATTGCAGTGGTTGCCAGTGGGGTGGTATGGGACTAGAACTGGTTGGAAGGCTAGAGCCGTCACTCTCAATATGGCAGGGCTCGAATCGGAATGTTCCCGAAACTACGCATTCGGTACGCATTTGGGATGTAACTCTCTCCAATACTTCGCATAGCTACGACCACTATGTGGGCCACTTTTGGGTGCGAAATTATATCTGCCACCTTATCCGACTGATTCACAAGGCATGCGTACTTGGGCGGTCTGTTCCTAAACCCCCTACAGGACACAACGTGAGCGGTAGAGCACTCTACTGCTACTGCTAGCTCAGTCTAGTGTACTATACAGCAACCCACCCTTCTTCTGCACTGCCAGCAACTCGTGTCCGTGCATGTAGCTAGTGTATGAGACCCTTATTCAGGTCTACCCAATGGCTGCATAGACCCCCTCCTCCTCCTCCCTCCCTCCCAGACCCTACCATGCAGCAGCAGAGAAGGATAGAGGAGCACTTAACAACCATAAAGCAATCGTGCCCACTCGCATCGTCTTAATTCACAGATGTATCAAGGCATTGCACTAGCGTACATATAGCCCATTTCAGCAATGGCTGCACAAGCACCTCTCCGTCACCTCTGCGACGTTGGCGATCCCCTGAGGTCGATGTACTCGTCCGTATCTCTCGGCAGAGACACTTCCGACATAGCCTTGTATTCGCTGATGCTCTCAGACGGTGTGTGTGTGTGTGTTGGTGTGCATGCACTGTCAGGCTGGCACCTGTGTTGCTGTTGTTGTTGCTGGTGGTTTGTATCGGTGTATTGCGTGGCTGTTGTCTGTGTCACATGGTGCTGTGCGTGTACGTGTGCGTCTAGGATATTCGGATACGCGTGGTGTGTGAAGCTCTCTGAGTCGCTGTCTAACCTGGGCCGTGCTGGCCCCATTCGTGGCGGTTGACTGCAGTAGCGTTGCACACACACGTGCTGTCTTGTGGCCACGCCATGCGAAGGCGACGTCTGTGTGCTCGGCTGTGGGTACCCATCAAAGCTCCGGTTGCAATGGAAACGCGAGGTCCGGCCTAGATAACCCTGCTGGTCCCCAGTGTCCAGGCTATTGCGTTGTCGTGGGGGTGCGCCCATGCCGTCGTTTGAGTACGAGTCTGGGTGCAGCACTATAGGCGATGGGTTCTGCATTGACGCAGACCTCAGCCCTGCCCGTCTGCTTGTGCTTGGGGGTGACCAGAATGTTCCGGAATCTCGTTCCTGTGTGTTGTGGTTATGGCTGTTGCTTGGGATATGGTGCATGGTGTGTCTATCTACCACCTCCCACCGCGGCGACGCTATAGACGACGTCAACGAGCACGGAGAAGCAGAACATCTATCCGTATGCCTAGAAGAGTGTGTGCACGTCTTGTGAGAGGGGGGTGTATGTGTATGTGTATGGGTATGTGGGGGTGGCTTGTGGGTTACTCCCCCTATCAACGCATGCATGGTCTTGCTGTGTCGCTTGCCCTTGATGTCTGCTAAAGTCGTCTCGGCGGTGTGTGTGCTGAAAGTGGTGATGTCGCACGCGTCGTCACTGGTGCTGTCTGGGCCCATGATACTGTGGCGCAGTCCCAACCTGCAGGAACAGTGCGAGATAAGCGAAAGATGAAGTGTTGGTTGATTTGCATATGAATAATATGTATGTTTGTATTTATATATGTATGTATGTACGTTTGTATGCTTGTATGTATGTTTGTATGTATATGTATGTATGTATGTGTGAATGTATGTATTTATGTGTGTATGCATGTCTGTATGGATGGATGGACGTATGTATGTATGTATATATATGTATGTATGTAAGTATGTATGTATGTATATATGTATGTATGTATGTATGTATGTATGTCTATATATATATATATATATTTATATAAATATATATAAATATAAATATATATAAATATAAATATATATATAGGCATGTAGGTGTTTATATATATGTATATATGTATTGTGTATCCATTGTGAGTCCTATACAACAAGAAAGACTTGTGTAATCCATCGTGTTGCTCCTGAATACAATAAAGTAACCCGGTAGGACGTGTAGCCATGACTGTAGCATGTCAACTGCCGCGTATGTTTGGTCACTCACACATCACAGCTTACACAGCAATCGCCAGTATGACTGGAGCACTACTAACAACAAGTTATCTGTACAGTTATAGGCAAGTATCACCATTAGACACTACACTCGCTTCCATTGCTTACGTTCATTTGTACAGTTATAGGCAAGTATCACCATTAGACACTACACTAGCTTCCATTGCTTACGTCTCTTTGGATTCAAAACCCACGAGTCCCAGTAAGCGCCGCCACAGATTCTTGTTCTCGTACTGCCCCTCCTCGGTTGCTATGGCAACCGATGCGGACTGAATGGACATGTGTGTTTCGTTCAATCGGGACGCGATGCTGGACCTGTTTTTTTTGTTTTGGTTTGAAAATGCCACAGATTGTTAAGCAAATCAGGCACAATCAGTTGCAAATATATGGCCTCGAATTTCATAGCCATATGGTATACCACGTGTGCAATGGCTTTAGAGTTTAGGGTTTCATCAATAGACAGACGGTGGGTGGGACTTTCGGCATGTTGAAACGCCACACAAACAGATGTGCAGCGCTCATGTATTCGCACAAAGACACATCGAAACTTAACACCACTCGATGTGACATTCAGCAGCTACAACTGTCATTCCTATATAACATGGCCCATTGAGACGTTCACTCACCCACAGATATACTTGACACCACGGGATGTGCCATTCAGCAGTTACAACTGTCATTCCTATATAACATGGCCCATGGAGACATTCACCCACCCACAGATATACTTAACACCACGGGATGTGACATTCAGCAGTTACAACTGTCATTCCTATACGGCATGGCCCATAGAGACATTCAACCACCCACAGATATGCTTAACACCACGGGATGTGACATTCAGCAGATTCAACTGTCATTCCTATATAACATGGCCCATGGAGACATTCACCCACCCGCAGATATACTTAACACCACGGGATGTGACATTCAGCAGTTACAACTGTCTTTCCTATACGGCATGGCTCATTAAGACATTCATCCACCCACAGGTACATTGGGAACCATTTACACGACTGATCAACGACTACCACACAACCACTCTCTCCACACGCAACACACTGGACATACATTGCCTTGGCACTCCTATAGAGTGCGTCTAAGGGAAGGATCATGGCCTGGAATGTGGGCCGTTGCGTCGGGTCTTCTTCCCAACACGAGAGCATCAGTTCAAACATCTCATCCGGACACTCGGCTGTGGGCCGCGGCAAGCGCACGCGCGACTGAGCCATAACCACCACCAGCTCATGGCTCTGTGGACAGATGGAGTGAGTGAGTGGGTGATAGGAGTGAGTGGGGTGTGCATGGGCTATTCTAGGGATCTAGAGTTATGTATGTTGTCATAGTATTCTAGAGTTAAACATGTTGCTGTAGGGTTGTAGGGTGTTGTTTGGTGTTGTAGGGTGTTGTAGGGTGTTGTAGGGTTGTAGGGCGTTGTTTGGTGTTTGGTGTTGTAAGGTGTTGTTTGGTTGTAGGTTTGTAAGGTTGAAGGGTGTTGTTTGGTGTTGTAGGGCGTTGCTTTGTGTTGTAGGGCGTTGTTTGGTGTTGTAGGGTTGTAGGGCGTTGTTTGGTGTTGTAGG